TAAATCAGAATCAAATCTTAGTGAAAATGTGGGAAAAATTGATAATAATAATGATATAATCCAGTAAGAATCATTTAAAAAATAAAATTATTCTTTCCTTGAAACTCACCTTAAAAAAATTAGTTTACTGACACTAACTATGTTACTTTGCCAATAGAGTTGATTATTTTGTGATAGGATGGGCCTTGAAGGAAAATCAAATTTATGGAAAAAAAGGGGGTGGAAAACAAATTGGTGATAAAGTCAAGGAATACCTGCAAATATATTTTCTTTCTGGTAAAATGGATAGAAGTCAATGATTTTCTGCAAAAGATATGTTAGAAGAATTGGAAGAGTGTGTAAAACTTGGTGAACTTACATCCGAAGAGTTGCCAACAATCAAAACAATTGAAGGATGGATAAGTTGTTTTGCTGCTTCTCATAAAAAATCAATGGCACAGAAAATTTTAGAAGAAAACCAAAATAAAAATCAATGACATTCTAAAAATTTATTCTTGCTTACTATAATTGCATCCTGAAATTATTTTGTAAAAAGATCAAGGTTTTGTTGTGGAGAAATTCAACATTTTGAGTTTTAAAGTTATTTTTTAACCTTGTTGATATTAAAATGTTTTATATTTATTTTTTGACACACATTCTTATGTTTTCCAATAATTTATATATGTAAAAAATATGAATTTTATACCCATAATCCAGGACCGCTGGTTAAATAACAGGGAATTGACAAATTTAACAGCTCATATTTTCATAAGTAAATATAATATTTCACGTTTGTTTAACATAGTTGGATATAAAAGATAATATATGTAACATAATAAATGCGTGACTTTTTGTGGGGGCCAAAAAATCAACCATATTAATTTTAATATGAAAATTAAAATTTTTTGCCCCGATCGGCACTAATTATGTAAGTTCTTTCCTTTATTCGTGGAACACGAATTAAATTTAAATAGCAGTAATTGCATGAAGCCACTTCAATAACTTCTTCAGCAGGCACAGTGCAAAGTGTTCAAAGAAGACAAGAAATAAGTTTGGAACTATTTTACAGTTGTAGATGGAAAAGTCAAATGCAATTACTGCACAAAGTAAATACTTTTGACTTTCAAAACCATTTATTTCCAAAGGCAACTCTTTCAAAATTCAAATTATTTCGTATGGTATTGATTTGAATTAGATTCGAACTTCAAATCATTTATAGAGTCGAATCGGATTCAAATCGAACCAAAGCACTCCTATTCGCATTTGATTCGAATGAAGCGAATCAAAAATTAGGTGATTCGATTAATGATGTATAACAAAACTTTTGACTTTAGTCATTAACGTGACAAAAGTACTGACTAAAGGCAGTTTCTCACCAAGGACCATTTGACGATTTGGCAAAAGTAAATTTTTTTTAATAAAATATATATATAAAGATATCCCTTAATTGCATTGAATAAATATTTTGAGAAAATTGTTTTAAAAGCAACTGTAATAATAATATAATAATAATAAATACAAATTATCATAAACCATTCAAATTACAATCAATCACTGTGCTAGCAACTACCACCTCCTTTTTACATCTAGTAGTAAGTTCATGAGATAATATTGTTTAAAACGAGAAGAATTAGTTTTAAATAATCTCAGATCCACAAAGTAAATTATTTGGTAGACCTTCCTCAAAAGTGTAGATCCATTTTGCTAAAAACAAAAAAGAAAATCTAAAGAACATTACCCTGCACAACGCAAGTATGTACAAAAAAAGTTTAACTTGCAAATCATTGTCCTGGTTGTACTCGTGGAATTAGAAACAATATTGATATAAAAGAAGATGGTAAATCCGAAATTGCTTGTCGAAATTGATTTTTCAAAAACCATTTCGGCCAACATCCTTGATTGAAATGCTTTCATCCATCATTATTTGTTTCAATACATCATCATCTTCTCATTGCTAATTTTGAAAACCATTCATTATTACCATTATCACAATAATAATAACCCTTTTGTTAGTAGTAACAAATCATTGCGATAATGACATTGACTTGAAAGATTTGATAATAAAAAACATTAATGTAATTAATACTATTACTATTACTATTACTATTACTATTACTATTGTTGAAAATTTTGATCCCCGCCGCAATTTTCCTGGGACGTAATGTTCACTTTAATGGATGTTGCACACAAAGATCTCCCGATAACTGCAGAAACCAAACGGTTGATCATTTGATAATCTTCTCGTGAGAAAAAATTTTTTTCCACAAGCTTGTAAATAATGTTATATGTAAAAGTTATAAATAATGTTTTATTACTAAACTGTAATAAATCAACAACTACAACATTCTTGAAACCAAACGTAGTAGCATCAACACGTTGGTTATTACCAAAACCATCATTAATACCACCAAGAAAAAACCTGTATCATTTTCATACCAACTTGACCGGATATAATAAATTTAATAAAAATCAAGCTGTCAATTTGCGCCAATTCTCCAACAATTGCATTATAAGAAATGAAACTACCGATAATTCAATAAAATTAGAAACAAGTACTAGTGCTGTCGGTGATATTAATAATAATGATCCAAACGTTCCATCTTCATCTTCATCTCCTGCTGCTGCTACTACAAAAGAAACATTAGAAAGTATAAAAGAAAAGGTAATTAAATTAAGCAAAGAAGAAAAATTGGACGATGCTATAAAATTGGTGTCAAGTAAAGAAAATCCAGGATTAGAAAATGCCGAAGCTTGGAATCAATTGATAATTGAATGTGTTGATAAAGGGAAAACTAAAATGTCGATTAGATTATTTAATGAAGTAAAATCTATTTCTTTATAACGACAATAATAATTAGTTAATTAATGTTAATATCAATTTAATTTAAAAAATTTTATTTTGACAAATAGATGAAAAAACTTTCAATGCTTCCAACTCAAGAAACATATACAGCAATTTTAAAAGGTCTATCATTATTTTACGTCTCACAACCAACAGTTTCACAAGCAATGTCAACCATCAATCAAATCATTCAATCAAGTCAAACAAGACCTGAGATCAAACTAGAGATTGGACATGTCAATTGTCTGTTAACAATTTGTCAACGTGCAAAAAATTTTGATGTTGCACTGAAAACTTATGATGATTTGATTAGGAGTGGTAAGTTGAAACCAAACAGAAAAACTTACTTGCAAATCCTGAAAATGTGTTCAGCAAATGGTGTGAGACAATCAGAAAAGGCTTACGAATTGGCAACAGATGTTTGGAACAAATTGGTTAAAGATGATCAGAACAAGGATAATCCCAATGCAGTGGTAGTTGATGATGGATTGATTAATGGCGTGATTGCTGCTTTTAAATTTACTAATCACATACCAGAAGCTTTCGTTATTGTTGATGACTTTTATGGGATTGGTAAATCTGCCATAGCAGCAGAAGGAGAATCAACAAAAGATGATTCTCATTCTTTGAGACTATCAATTACAAACGATACAGTGGACAGTATTTTTGGTTTATGTTTTAAAACAAGACAATTCGATTTAGGAATAGAATATTATAACAAAATTACAGCAAAATATCCAGATTTTTCACTTGACATTAATAATTATGATGGTTTAATTTCACTTTACAACTTAAATTATCAATTTAACAAAACCATTGAAACATACCATAATCAATTTAAAAAATTTAAACTTGCTCTAAATGCTTCTACATTTGAATCTTTGATGTTTGCATGTCAAAATCTTCGAGATCTAAGCACAGCAAAAGAAATTCTTGAAAATGCTGTTGAGAAACAAATAGCTTTAAAACCAACTGGTTTAACAAAAATATTGAGATTAGTATTGGAACAAGCAAGAACTACAGAAAATTACAATGATGTTTGTTGGCTATTGAATAAAATAGATAAAACAGGAGATATTTATTTTAATAAAGAAAAGAAAGGAATCATTTTAATTGATGATATGGATGATAAACAATTACTATATGCTCTTTCATCAGCCTATAGAATTGCATTGCAGGAGGTGAAAGATTTGGAGGAGGAGAAAAGAGCTCAATGGGTAGAAGATAAAAAGTTTTTTGATCATAAGGCTGACAGGTTGAATAAGGCCAATTCAAAAGCCCACCCACCACGACAGCAAAATAATATACATACAGATAATTTCAGAATAAAAAAAATATATCAAGGAAGATGGAAAACCCAAGATGATAAGAATTGGTATAATAATCCCGATAACCAATTTCCATTGGCTCCACCAAATGTAAACCGTAGGTATAATAACAATTACTATAACGGTGGTCCTTTTCTAACCGCAAATAATAATCCATCAACACCACAATTTCATGCCGAAGGATATTATTCTCCAAGATCACCACCATCATATAAAACACCAATGTATTATTATTACAATCCAAACAAAGGTTTTAGACGCCCACCACCACCACCACCACCTTCTTCATATTCTGAATTTTCATCACCTCCAAAATCTAATTATTCGCCTAGCCAATCATATGGTAGTTTTAGTGGACAGCATAATAGAAGATCAGGTGTATATCGTGGACCACCACCTTATTAAATAAATTTTTTTTTTTGTACTAGTATATATATGTATATATATATATATATATTTGCATTAATGCCTAAAAAATTTTTTGGTGTCCCAATATTGTGATTTTCATTCGTTTCTGCATTTAACGATGACACAAAACCATTAATTTGTAATAAATAAACAAATCGACATGTGTGATCTCAGGTGCGCTCACGAGAATTTTTGATCTGGAAAAAAAATTTTTTTCTTGCATATAATACACCTTAATAAATATTATTATTATTATTACCAACTTCAACAGTTGGAAAATAAATAATATCATTTTTTTTTATATTTTATTAACGGTTGACGTATATATATATACTCGTCTTCAACAGACGATATACCTTTAAAAACTATTTATCAAATTAAGTAACTATGAGTAACGATTCACAATTAAGATCTAGATTTGGTTCTGAAAGTAGCAGCATTTGCAACAATAATGGTGATAATAATGATAATAATAGAATATCTGATGAATCTAATGATGATAAAATGAAAAAAAGTGAAGAAATTGTCTATGGAAAAACACCATACAATCGTGGTATTTATCATGAATTCAATTGAATATATTTATGAAAACTATCAATTAGCATTTTTGTCATCTATAAATTCTGTTTTTAACTCAAATTTTTATATAAATAAATATGATGATGATGATAGTATTTCAAGTACCACATACTGTAGAAATGTTAACATCGGTCTTTGATCCAAAATGTAAAAAATCTTTATTTGATTACATCACCTTTTCAGTAATTGGTTTTCAAATGTTGCTATTTTTTGTACTTCCATCATCAAGCAAAAAATGGACTTTCTTTTTTCTTTTTGCTTTTTGGAGAAGTGCATATAATGTGGGATTGGGTTATCTATTAAAATATCAGAGTGATAAGCGTGGATTGGTTATTTGGGCAAAACGTAATAAGATTTTTAACAAAGAAAACTCGAAATGGTATTCCCTCCTCAAGAAAGAATTAAGTACAAAAATGGGTGATGATTATGATTTTGATGTAAGTAATTAATGATGGATTATTATTGTTTTTTTTAAAAAAAACAATAATATAAGTTTGCCATTTTATTATCCATATATTAATTATTATTATTTGGTGATTATTTATTTTTTTATTATCTTTATTATATATTTTAAATATATTTATATTTATATATAGAGAGTTCCTTTGGAGTTTAATACTTGGCTTCTATTTCGACAATTAGTTGATTTAATTCTTCTTAATGATTTTACTTCATACATTTTCTTTGCTCTTTCAAACTTTGGCATTCCAGAAAATTCAGGGATTTTTATTAACTTGTTACGCTGGATAGGTGGTTTTTTCTTATTATGGTTTAACATTTGGGTAAAAGCTGATGCTCACCGTGTAGTCAAAGATTTTGCTTGGTGTAAGTTTTCTATCTCTTTTTATCATTATTTTAATTAAAAAAATAATAATAATCATAGAATATCTTTCATACATTATACTTGTACATATGAACACTTATTTTATGTAGATTGGGGTGATTTCTTTTTCCTTATTGATCAATCACTCACCTTTGATGGTGTATTTGAAATGGCACCACATCCCATGTATTCTGTTGGTTATATTGGTTATTATGGTATTTCTATGATTACGGCAAGTTACACTGTGCTGTTTGTAAGCTTAGCAGCTCATGCAGCACAATTTGCATTCTTAACCATTGTAGAAAATCCTCGTAAGTAATAGTTCAATTGTTCATTTGGCATTTACGTTCCAATAACAAAATTGAACCGAGTGACTTAATTTATTGGTGTTACATAACTAATTGCCAATATGCTTTATCATTATTATGTTATAACAAAAAATTTTAATTATATAATTAATTTTCATTCATTCATTTATTCATTCTAAAAAACCATAGACATTGATAAAACGTACAATCCACTGGTGTCACTTAACGCTAAACTTTCAAAATCATTATTGACAGAAAAACATGAATCAAATATTATTTTAGACAAAGATAGTTCCATTTCACCACCATCACCATCATCACCACCATCATCATCATCATCATCATCATCATCATCATCATCATCATCATCATCATCATCACCACCGCCGTCATCACCACAACCACCACCGTCATTACCCTCCCACACATCTCCTAATGAGCAACTAATTCAACCTATGCTTCCTGATCTTTCAAACTCGACACATTGTCATTTTCATCGTGATCTTATCATATTCAAAAACTTTGATTTATTTCGTTCAAATGATCTTTTTGTCATCTTTATGATCTTTTATGTTGTCATTGTCCCATTACTTATATCAGGAACTTCTGATAATGTTGTTAAAGCTTTTTTGGTTTTACAATGTTTGGCATGGAGAATATTCCATTCTTATGGTTTAGGTTATATGTTACATTTGCAAAGTAAAAGCAAGTTTTTAACAAAACATTACGTTAAATATGGTGGAACTGCAGGTGATGCCTTTTCTAATTGGAAAAGGTGAGAAATATTAAAAATTTTTTTTCGGAATGGTTATATATTATATATTATATATTCTAAATATTACAAACATTCTTTTTTAGCATTTATAATTTATCATTGTGTATGACATATGTAACATTTATTGCTGCTGCATGGAAAATGTATTATTTCCCAGCTGATTGGACATATGGGCTGGTGTTATTAAGACATACAATGGGTGTACTATTGATTGCATTACATATATGGACCTCTGTTTCTGTGTTTGAGGTTCTTGGGGATTTTGGATGGTTCTATGGTGATTTCTTTATAGATGATTATTCTACAACTTTATATTATACCGGCATCTATAGATTTGTTAACAATCCAGAGAAAATCATGGGACATGCTGCATTCTGGGGCATTACTTTTATTGCAAACAGCTGGCTTATTTTTGGCGTGGCGTTATTTTCACAGATTTCAAATTTCATATTTTTGAAATATGTTGAGGGACCTCATATGAAAAAACTTTATGGTGACAAAATCAGGAAAGAGGCTGGAGTCACAAGGGCCGTTAAACGTCTAACGATTATTCCAAACATTGTTAAAAGAGAACTGTCTAAAATTCGTGAAACTACAGAGGTTCAAGTTGCTCAAAAAATTATCAAAGAACTTGCTGAAACTGTTGAAAAAATGGTAGAGGAAGCTGGTGATGCTCTAGGCGAACTTGTCGATTCAACAAAACCCAAATTTCAAGAAGTTGTTGAAGAAACTAAAACAATGTTACAAAATTCTCGTGATAAATTAATAAGGTAGGTAGATGTGTGTGTGTGTGTGTGTGTGTGTGTGTGTGTGTGTGTTTTATACTTTGTTTTGCACGCTATTTGTTTATTCTATTTCATCTTTTTTATTTTTATTTTAGCCAAGCCGTTGGTCGAATTCAAAATCATGACGTTTCAGGATATTCAATAGTTCTTGTAGCTCCTGAGGACATAAATATCACACCACCAAGTACACCAATTTCTTCAGATAACAAACCAGAACAAGAACAATTTAAAACAGTGTCAAAACCAATCATATTCACACTTGGTTCTCCGATTAATTTGAGGTGGACTGCACCCAAGAATCATTCATGTAAAGATTGGATTGGTGTTTACAAAGTAACTTCTAATTCTTCAAAGAATGTCACTAGTGTCTCTAGCAAAGGTCGTTACATGTATGTTTTGCCTGAGGATGAAGATTTTGATAATAATAATAACGATGAGGCAGCACCAACATCAACATCAACATCCACTACACAAACATTTACCACTACTGATGCCACCAGTAATGATTTTAATGCCTTTGGTGCATTATGGTTTAAGGGTGATCAATTGCCATGGGAAGTTGGTACTTATGAATTTAGATACCATCGTGACAACGGACATGTAGTTATGGCCATCTCACAGCCATTTGAAATCAAAGGTATGTTTGTTGTCAATGATAACTATAATAATAACGATCGTGTGTTTTTTATCATTTAATTAATTTATAAATTTTATAATTTTTTTAAAAAATAGCACCAACACCAAAATATATGTCGGATCTTCCGTCTATTGAACAAATGGTGCTTACATTAGTACAAAAAGCCCTTGACACAGATCCAGAATTGATTCCATACACCACACAAGATGATTATGTCTTGATGAAGGAAATTCATGCCAAACGCATTGTATATGGAATTAAGATGATCTTTGGTATTGACTTTGCTTGGGAAATTGTTGCTATTGATGGAAATGTTGGAAGGCTTGCAAGAAGGGTTTGTATTGATAGTATTTTGTTTGTTATTTTTGTTAATTTTTCAGATATATATATATATATATAATTGATTATTGTTATTCCAGATACATAAAGCACATCTTGTTATATCTCCTATTAAACAATATCAACGCCAAACAGGTGATCACATGAATGTCAGAAACAGTACGAGTAATGACAATGAAAACAATAATAAATCAACCAATCTTCTTAAAATCTCAACATTTGACAACAATCAAAACAATGAAAACTTGGATGATCAGCAATTTTTATATTCACCTACTTCAAGTGAGAATGGTGAATAAATGGTTTTTATGTTTTTATATTTTGAATAAGAATATTTTTTTTTTTTAATAAAACCAAAATAATATTATTTAATATTTTTATTTATAATAATATATCTTTATTTATTTACGAAAATTTTATATAAATGAATGTCAATGTCAGGCGTGACAACACCATAATTTTTTATTATTTATAATTTAATATATTACAAATTTTATTTTGCATATAGCTGTGTTGTGTTTTTAAAATTATTTGTAAATAAATACAAAAAAAAATGAACTTCTATAGCAAAAATAGATTAAAGGAATTCTCATTATCCTGATCAATGTTAACACGACATTAACCAGAACAATCAGAATAATCAGAATAATCATAATAACCATCATCAACGATGGGTTTCTCATCTGTAACTTCATATTTCAAAAATCCTAAACCTTTATATTTAAGTAGCTTGAGGAAGGGAGATTTTCCT